AAATCTTAAAACACATAGAAGAACAAGCCTTGCTGAGGGAAAATCACCATGGCTTCTGTAAGGGCATGTCTTGCCTCACAAGCCTTTTAGAATTCTTTGAAAAGCTCGGCATGCATATAGATATGGGTGAACTAGTGGATATTGTCTGTCTGGATTTTCAGATGACGTTTGATGCGGTCCCTCACCAAAGGATGCTGAGAAAACTCCACAGTCATGGGATAAGAGGGCAGGTCCTCTTATGGATTGAGAATTGGTTGAGAACCAGGAAACAGAGAGGAGGTGTCAATGGGCAATTTTCATAGTGGAGAGAGCAGTGTGCCCCAGGGATCTGTCCTGGGACTGGTGCTTTTCAACCTGTTCATCAATGATCTGGAGATGGGGATACACAGTGAGGTGGCCAAGTTTGCAGATGACATGAAACTTTTCAGGGTGATGAAGACCAGAAGGAATTGTGAAGAGCTCCAGAAGGATCTCTCCAAATTGGGAGAATGGGTGGCAAAAACGTTTCAGTACAAGAAAATGTAAAGTAATGAACATTGGGGCAAAAATATCAAAACTTTATTTATCAGCTGATGGGTTCTGAGCTATCTGTACTGGAGCAGGAAAGAGATCTTGGTGTGCTGATGGACAGCTCAATGAAAGTGTCACCCTAGTGTGTGACAGCAGTGAAGGCCAATTCCATGCTAGGTATCATTAAAAAGGAGATTGAAAATAAAACAGCAACGTTATAATGCCATTGTACAAACCAATGGTAAGGCCACACCTGGAGTATTATGTACAGTTCAGATTGCCACACCTCAAAAAAGACATAGCGGCACTGGAAAAGGTGGAGAAGAGCATGGCTAAAATGATTACTGGGCTGGGACACCTCCCTTATGAGGAAAGGCTACAGCATTGAAACGGTACCTGGGGGGGATTATTGAGATGTATTCTTATGCAGGGGATGGATCAAGTGGATAGAACCAGGGAATATCCACTCAGACCTCCCTTATGAGGAAAGGCTACTGCATTGAAACAGTACCTGGGGGGGACGTGATTGAGACGTATTAAATTATGCAGGCGATGGATCAAGTGGATAGAACCAGGGAACATCCACTCAGATTAAGTGTTGGGAGAGTGGGAACAGACAAAAGAAAATATTTCTTTACCCATTGTGTTGTTAGTCTGTGGAACTCCTTGCCACAGGATGTCTTCTTTAAACAACTTTTGCTGCTGCTTGTGGTTTAGATATAGGATCTTCTAGTAATGCATGTAGAGACCAAAAGCCATATAGGTGGGGTATATTTGTTCTGCAGACAAAACTAGCATTGAAAATTACTGTCAAACCACCATGCCCCAGCTGATTGTTGCCCTCTCAAACTCCTGTGGGGGCATGGAATCAGATCATATCCATCCTGCGAAGGATATGGAATGGAACCCCGAATGCCACAAATGGATATACCTTTTCTAATTCCCTTAAAAAATTAATCAAAGGGCTGAAAGATGCTCAGTAACAACATCTGTTCCACATTGCTGCTGGAAGAGTGGGGGAGATAATAGGGAGGGAAAGCATCTCCATCGTTGTGAAGATAGGTGCTTTCTCTGTGCTAGAGTTACTCTGGATCTAGCTGGTACTTATCATGGCAGTCTTTGAAGAAATACATGACCATGATAGACATTCTATGTAATATTGCCACAGTAGTAAGTCAGATGTAACAGTGACAGCTTCTTGTCACAATTTTGGAAACAAATGGTTCAGCTAAGGGACTGTGCTGTGTAGCATTTATTAACCTTGGATATATAGGGTCTTCACTCATATGTATTTGCACATTGTCCCTTCTAATTACAGTGAGAAAAGAGTGTTTGATGATGACCAACTTTACTCCATACATTTGTTTTAAAATAACATTTTTTACACTTGAATAGCATTTGTAAAACAATATTTAGGAACTGAATATGGAACTGTTATTGGGAGGATAAAAGCAAACTTATGATAGACTGGAGAACAGCATGCTTGCTTCTACAACATTATATGCAAGACTGCTCAGCTAGGATTGTAATAAGTATAGAATTAACCTTGTGTGTTTTTATGTAATAATTTCAAGCACAGTGTGTGAGTGAAATGAAAAGGATGTCAGATGACAGCATTCGTTTCCCTCTCTCTTCTGAAAGCTGTCATAAATGACTAGCAAGGGACACATGTCAAATATTACTGTTAGCATAAGTTTCTGTCTCACCAGAGACTGAGGTTTTAAGAGTTTTTAAGAGCTTTTTAGTCTGTCACTTGGAATGTAGAAGTGCTAATAAATGTGTTTTCTTACAGTATAAATTGGGTGAAGGGCCAACATTTGAAAGGAATGAATAGGAAACATACTGCTTCCCCCACAGATTGTGTTCTCTGTGATCTGATGTTTGGGAGAACTATGAAATGCATTAAAAAGCATGATGCTCCATAATTTCTTTTCACTCTACCTTTGTTGATGTGTATCTCATCACCTTGAACAAATATCACTCTGTGCTTTACATAGCCAACATTTTGTTATAGTTCCCATTAAAACATTTTTATTTAAGTTATGTTTTTACTAAGGGTGCAACTACACAGTGGGGGAAATTCAAGTATGAAGTTGGGTTTCCTGGGCGAATTTGCTTCAACCAACTACATAAGGGGCAGCAGAGGGAGAGGGAAAATTGGCACTCAACCTTGTTTGTAGTTTGTTGAGGTAGATCTCCTCTGGCTCTACAGATTTGCAGGTGCCATGGTTGCAGCAGAGCTACCTTAACAAGCTTGATATTAAGCTGATTGAGAACTTCTCTCTCTCTCTCTCTGCCAAATCTTTGATCTTTTATCATTCTTTGGTTACCTAACTGCCCTAGCGCCAGGGCTGCAGGCTTTTAAAAGCAAAAGCAAAAGAAAGAACAAAAGAAATGGAATGGGAAGGGAAAAGGAAAACAAGCAAACCCAGACATCAGGTTTGGGTTGGAGAGGATTTAAATGGCAGCCCACTTCACCACTGCCATGCTTCTCTCCCTGCTGCTGTAGCTGAATGGAATGGCTTCTTATAGAATGGTTACAAACCCTTCCACATTGGCTTAAGCAATCACATTGCCTGAACTGGAATGATTTCATTTGCTGTCAAAAAAAGTAGAAGCCCGGTGGTGGAGGAAAAAAACTGCTGCTTCGCATTGACTTGTACATTGTGTAGTTAATGGAAAATAATATGAATCTGACTACCCCAATTTCAGAGTACTTTCCACATTGTTTGTCCATATATTTGCCTGTTTAATCAGGAATAACTTGTTCAGATTCTGTGACTCTGTTTAGATGACACAGTAATCAGGACCTACATATTCTATTAAATTACAACAGGCATTCTTATTTTAGAAATCTATTTTCTTCTCTCTTTAGTGTTGTCTACAAACTTCTTGCATCAAAAAGTGAAGGGATCAGGGTACAGGCTCTAAAGGTCATGGGCTACTTCTTAAAGCATCTTGCACCCAAGTAAGTATTAGACTGAGTTCCAACAAACTTGAGCTGTCAAATACTGTGTTATTTGTGTGCACTCTAGCTGCTTCTTTGTTCTATTTCTGCTGTTGTTTGGAGAGCTAAAAACACTAACCTTAATGGTTCTGTCACTAGAATGGAATACAGTAATTTCTGTTGATGTTGGATGCATTCAGACAATTGAATCTCAGTCATTTTATCCACTTCACTCTTGCCTTCGTGTAACTGGGGAAATCGACCAGGAAATGATAGATAACCATAGCTTCTTATTATACTTATGCCAAGCAAGTTGGTTGATGCCATCCAGATAAGTCAGAAGATGAGCCCATGCTTTTATAGTTGGCTTCTTTATCCTGGCTTTTTTTGGAAGTTATTAACCATAGTTACAGTTTTGTAGTCCTGTATTAAATGTGACTTGTTTGTTTGCTTAAGAGAAAAAGCAAAGCAGAAACAAAGGGGTTGTTTCTGTACATATAGAGTTTGTGAAATTGAACTGACTCAGCCAGCATCTGGTTGTCTGAACATGGTTGTATCAACTTTCTAACAATGTCTGTTAATCATTTCAGTGAAATCATAATCATAATATTTTGGGTGAACTTTAAACTGCAGGCAATACACTTATTAGTAAGTGTGTTACACTTGAAAGGAGGGATTCATTTTCCTCCTGGTTTCTTCACCATTATCATAATGAATACATACTCAGATCCAGGTAACCCAATCCAAGCTAGAAAACTAAATGAATGGAGGACAGTGAAGGGACAGTGTCTAAGCCACACTTGAACTGAACTTCTTCAGAGCCATAGTCTACAAATTGTTACTTACACATACTGTTTTTATTTTATCTGTCATATCCTTTTAGGAGGAAAGCTGAAATCATGCTTGGCCATGGATTGTTCTCTCTACTGGCTGAGAGGCTTACTCTCCAAACAAGTTTGATTACCATGACAACATACAATGTGCTATTTGAGGTACTAGAGTCAACACCTTGTCTTTCTAATTCATAGAACTTGTAAATTGGTTGTATGTTTGTATTCTCGTATTGGAATATTATTGAATGTTACTGAAATGAAAATTTAGCTTGGTCATGGTGTGCTGATGTGTCCTCACCCAATAAAGGTGAAAAACCCTGTTATGTAGTTGCAAAACAAAGTATGAACAGATTGTACCATGAACATTTGTCTTCAGTAAAGAGAAGTGAATGTCCCTTGACTTCATGGGTACAAATGTTACAAAGAATCATGTTTCAGAGAAGCAGTGAATGCTACAGAAATTTCTAAGCACCATAGATAAGTTCACAGAGGTAAGGTGAAGGACTTGACAACATTATTATAAGTTTTGGCCAGGATCCATTGGTGTTGCTGGATCTTGGCCAAAATCCAGCAACCTGCCAGAATCTCCCTCCTCCTTGCAACTCTCCATGTATCCTGAAAACATGCTGTGGACAGCTGGAAAAGCCTCTGGACCAGGTGTTTCACATCATGGTGGGCTGCAGTGAGAAGGCAAGAAAGCCACAACTCTACTGGTAGTGTTTAATGAACGATACTTTTGGATCTTGGCTTTGCTTTATGGCACAGCTATCATGATAAAGTTATGTGTCATTACTTTGGTTTCTTTAGTCACATCCATGACTAGATTTGGATATCTGGCATAATAGAATTGGATTATAGAACTGTTAAGGTTTGCTGATTCAAGAGCTGGTGTATTAACACCACTAATTAGTGATGATAATATATTTCTTCTTACTTCAGTATTCCTTTTATATATTTGCATAACAAGTCAATGTTTAGCCTATAGCATAGGCATTGTTGAGCTTTTTCAGATTATTACCTCACCCTATTCCAGAAGAGAGAATGCTATTGTGCTGTGAAATGATTGTTCCCATCATAACAGAGGACCAACAAATAAAGATACTGAGTAGCCAGTACTCGTTTCCCTAAAAAGCTATTTTTTCCCCTGCTTGCCATGCATCTAACATTTCTTCTTCCTCTTTCTAGTTTTGTGAGACACATACAGATTAGAGCATTATGTATGGAGATAATTATAGACATCATAATTTAACAAATATGTCTGTCCTTCAATAAAAAGCTTTTAAACACCCATTAGGATAAGGCTTTTCCTCAAAAAAAGTGTTATATTTAACCCTTACACTATATTGTCCTCCTCTTTTCCTCAGATTCTTATTGAACAGATTTGCACTCAGGTGATACATAAGCAACACCCTGACCCAGATTCAACAGTGAAGATACAAAATCCTCGTAAGCATTTCATTCATTAAGATAAACTATAAAGTATCTCTCTGTAATTGTCTACATAAAAAGGGAATTATCTAGAAAGTTTGTATTAAGTTTTTCTTTATGTTTATAAATTCAGTGTTTATGACTCCGAATAATACAGACTATGGGGAAACCTTCATTTTACCCTTAGTGGAAGAACACTGCTGGTCAAAAGTATATCAAACCAAAAAGAAAGAAACAAAAACGTTGTGGCACCTTAAAGACTTACTGCTGTGTTTTTACTGTGAGCTTTTGTGGATTAAGTCCACTGACTTAGACATAAGAGTGAGACTATATGCCTATCATATTTATACATGGCCCAGATAACGGACCAAGTAACAGTGAGAAATTCTCTTTGATTTTGGATCCAGAGTGGATGGTAATCATCCTTCCACCCACAGAAGGCTCCAATGCAGTTGAGCATTTCTGGTGGTGGTGTGGAATCTGGTCTTTTTCTCTTTCCCTCTCCCCCAGTCAGTGCTGTATGGACTTAAAAACCTCCAAGTAGCCTGTTTTTTTTTTTTTAGTCAGGGTTCCAGGTTGCCAGGATATTCTAAGTATGTTTCACTAAGCATGACTGTAGATCTAATGAAGAGCTACAGAAGTTTCAGGTGCACATTTATCACACTGCATTTCTACATGTGCAAGCTGGACACTGAGATTGATTCATTATTTAATTCAGTGGTTCTTAACCTTTGTTACTCAGATGCTTTTGAACTGCAACTCCCAGAAACCCCAGTCAGGACAGCTGGTGGTGAAGGCTTCTGGGAGTTGCAGTCCAAAACTCCTGAGTAACCCAAGGTTAAGAACCAGTGATTTAATTCTATACCCTGCCTGGCTATAAATATACAGTCAATATGTTTATTATGTTAGATATTCAACTCTTACTTTACCCGTGACTGTATGATTTAGTCGTCTAATCTCCACAAGTAATAATGGTTATATAATAAAAGTAACTTGATGTACATGATACTTCATGTGAAACATTGCAAAAAAGGAATATATGAACACATAACTGAAGATAATTATTTCACTTATTTATTATGTGAATTATCATTGGACTTTGAATTATTTTAATGTGCAAGAGTAGACCTTTGTTTCACTGTGATGACTTGACAGCAGAGTTAATAGAGAGAGAACATTTTTGTACCTCTCTCACTCTCTGCATACTGTATATACCCCTATTAAGTTTTAGGTGGTTACTGTAGGAATTCTATCACTTTCCATTCATTTCATAAGCTGTATAAGTCTCTTTTATTATTAAACAGTATTTTAAATGCCATTCTTTTGAGACTTGAAAACTATGGTGTTAAATTCTTAATGGTTTACATTGCAGTCCCAATTTGTCTTTTTTTTAAAAAAAGTATGTCTCCCATCTACAAATTACTTTTTGTCTGAGCTCTGATCACATGGAGAAATAAATTTTATTTTGACTGTGAAGTGGTTTGGTGCAGTTTATTTACCAGCAATCACACAATCCTGATCTATTCACAAGCTGGGCTTTTTGGGCCCAGCAGTAGGGCTACTAGCTTTGGAAGATGTGCTAGAGCTATTTCCTGACAAATGTAAGGGTTGCTTTATGTGAGATTGGACCCTTTCCAATGCAGTCATATGTGTGCCTTTTCCTGCCATCTGATTGTACCCTGAGTCTCTTTCACCTGCACTTCATATTGTCCTTGGTTCTCAACCAGATTACTGGAAAGTGCTGTATAGATTTTGCCAATTCTGTGTCAGAGTAGCAAACTCTAGATGCTGGGTGACTGCTACTGTACTGAGAGCACTGACTATCTCTTAAATAAATGGATGTGTATGGAAATGGGTGAAGTCAGTAGGCTGCTTCACCTAAGTCTTTGCAGAACTGTGCTTTTGACATAACACAAATGGCAGATATGTATGTCTCTGCCAGATAAATGTGTATAACTATAGATAATGTATAGGTGATGCATTGTGGTGATTCCTTTTAATCTGTTTAAGCCCTAATCTGTTCATAAAAACAATGATTCAGTGGTCACATTAAATTAGTAATAGAATGTTGAGAAATCTTTGCATGTTCTGGGTTAAATGTCAAAGATTTTTTGTGGGATTTTAAAAGAAATTCAGTCAAGATCCAGCAGTAGATTTAGCTTCTTCCACAAGATGAATTGTGACCTCTTTCCCCCACCCCCCACATGCAGCGCTCTGAAAAGCTGCTGCAGAGGGTTTTTCATCTCCATGGAAGAGAGTTCTAGTGCATATGAAGTGAGATGCAGAAAGGTTTGCTCCTGTCCTAATTCCATGGTGGAAGTATAGCATTGGATTCTGGCCATAGTTTGTATTAATATGACATTAATTGCCAACAGGACTGTTAATTTGTATTCAGATTTAGTTTGACAAGAAAAGAAACTAAAATTACATAATTAAGTATGTGAATGTGCACAGGAATAAAATTAAATTCCAATGGATAATTTACAGATCATGCACTGTTTTCCAAGTTTCATTTATGCATATAGCTGCATGGCATTTTGAGTGTCAGTGGCAAATACTACTTCTCTAAATTTTGTCTTTTCTAGCAACCCAGGTAGAACCACTAATCAATCTTTTGACAAATAAACATTGGTTTTTACACTTCTCTAGATGTTTGTAACAGCCAAAGACTAATAAACATGAATGAAAGAAAAGTATAAACTGATCTCCCCCAGACTGACACCCCCTGCTGTACTGAATGGCTATATATCTCATCCTTGGTCAGCAGGGCCAGGGTGTAAGGAGTGCTGCAGTAAAACAGCTCTCTGGGTAACAGATTGAGAGTGTCTGTTTAGAACCTATCCTGTGATACTTTAAAATAATCAGAATCTGATTATATTAGTCCTGTTTTCTGTGGCCAGTGGTAGCCAGATAGATATTTTGGAGCATGACACTAATAAGATGTGATCAAGGTGATTAATTGCTGTTGTTTGTACCCAGTGCCTATTACCAGAGGTATCCCCCTTCCAAATATGAATACTGCATTTTGGTAGGGCAGTTGAGTTAGCTTTTCAGGATTTCTGACATTAGGAATGTGAAAACCTATGGCATTGTAGGCCATCTTGACTAAACAGTGGAAATGCTGAATACTTTCTCTCATTCCCTAACACAGTTGTTCGTATCACTGTACTGCATAAAGTTGAGTTTTGCTACTCTTTTTTTCTTATCCAGATATAATTCCAGTTGTTTCAGGTCAGCTTTCATTATGGCACAGTGTAGACCTTGCTTGATTTGGAAGCTACTAGAAGGGATGAAGTTGAGTCTGATTTTTTAAAAAATTCTTACCCTTTCTACAGAGATCCTGAAAGTTATTGCAACCTTGCTGCGCAATTCTCCGCAGTGCCCAGAAACTTTAGAAGTCCATCGAGTCTTTCTCTCAGATATGATTAAGCTTTTTAATAGCAGCAGAGACAATAGGAGGTAAGTAGATGGCATAAGTCAACTTGCCCTCAACATACCTTTGATAAATGTCTGTTTCTCTAGTTTGTGCGCTCTTTTAGTAGGATATAAGTTTCTAATATAGTCACACATTTTCAGTTAAAGTGCTAGATAAATCTGAACACAAAAGTTCTAATTAGTTTAACTCATATTGGTTTTTCTGACCTTTAGTTTCAGGTTATTTACTTGTAAGACCTAATTTAATAAAATGTTAACACTTTTGCAGGAGTTTACTGCAGTGCTCTGTGTGGCAGGAATGGATGCTTTCCCTTTGCTATTTTAATCCCAAAACCTCTGAGGAGCAGAAGATAACGGAAATGGTGTATGCCATTTTTCGAATTTTACTTTATCATGCAGTCAAATATGAATGGGGTGGCTGGCGTGTTTGGGTGGACACTCTAGCAATCACACACTCAAAGGTAAGTTGTGCAGAAAAAACAGATTTTTTTTAAAACTTTTTAATACTTTTAAGGAACTCTTAAATTTTGGTGAGCCCTGAAGAAGAGATGCTGAAGTGAAAGAGATGAATGGGTAGAAAGGAATAAAGACCTTAGCGTTCCTAAAAGCTTTCCTAAAAATGTAATTTAAATTTGTCATGTTATTTAATTACTCTGCTTGTACAGCATCATATTCAATTTTAATCGTAGCTGATGCCACAGCTTTATACTAAAATAGCTAATCTGAAACTCTGTGATGCTTTGTGCTTTATCACACTGAACTGTAAAATGTGTATGCAATGTAATTACATGTGTCTGAAACACAAGGTGGCGCACATAGTCTGTTTGTAGGCCTATGTGGTACCTTTTAGTAACAGGAAGTGGCTGTGAACCAAACTGCTGAAGTACAGTGAAGGGACTGGAGCAAAATTTACCTCTCATCTAAACAAAGAGAAAGAAAGGAAGAGAGAATAAGTCTAGTTTACTAAATTTTTTGTAGCCACAACAATATTGTCATGGAAAATAGTGGTGTTTTTTAATGGTGGTAATCTTGCAATGGAGAAGCTGGCTTTAGAATGAAGTTGGGATGCTGTAGTATTTCCTTTACTGCCTCCTTTATTCACTTAGACATTTAAAAATAGGTCTGAACGATCTTCCCACACAGGAAGGAAAAAATAAGGTACATACGTCCTTTCCTAGGACACCAGTGCATGAATTGTGGGTGGAGACCAGATATAAGAATTTATCTACTCTGTTGGTAATTGTAGGGATAGCGTCAGCTGGGGCAACCAAGTTCATAGGGAAAGCAAAAGCAAAACAGCATTTTTTTCTAAGATTATGATTGTATTTCGGAAATGACGAGAGAACTGCTTGACAGCATATGTAAAAGCAAAGCGATATCTTGCATCAAATATTTTATGGCTAGAAGCTTCTGCCCTCTGCCCTTCTCAAAGTCACTTATAACATTTGCAGCACATGTAAAATTTTTGGTGACATTTGGTCTCAGATTTAAACCCTATCTGCATTTCAGAAGCTATAATTTAAAATATGTGAAAAGAAAGGTCTATATAGGCACGTAAAAAGGTGGTCTCTTAGTGTGATGCAATAACAGAACTTTAAAACCCGTATGCTTTGCACTTGTATCAGATTACTATTGATTTATGTTAGGACTCATTTAATGTTGACCCAAGTGCTAAATTCCTTAGGATCATGTATGGCCACATGACTGACATGAGCATTGAAATACTGGTGGGTAGAAGTTTGAAGGGGAAAAACACACAATCAAATGGCCCAGTAAGCTTTGGATATTAAATCCTGGACAGCAGTGTCAAGGCCTAGAAATAATCTTGTCAGATGTATGAATGGATGTGGGACTAGACCAAGGTATATGATTTAGGATTCAATAATATACATTTTCCAGTTTAAATGATGCTATTTGAAAAGCAAGATGTAATTTTGCACAATGGATGTAAACAAAATTAGATACCCTTATGTTATTTCATGTTATTAATTGCTTCAAGTAGGTAACTATAGTCTGGAAATCTTAATTCTCTTTCCTTCCCTTTTTAATATAACTATGAGCCTTTTCCAGCAAAAATTTATTTACGTTCCTCTTTGGCTTTTCTTGACTAGCTCCTTAGGTTTTTCACTACTGCCTCTTTTATGACTAGCTCCCTGCACCCTTTTTTGTGCTTTCCCCTAATATTCCTTTTCCTCTGAAATTCAGACTACCAGTGATAGTCAGAGTTCCATTTTGGAAATCTTGGCCAGCCCCAATAATGTATAAAGGGGGAGGTGGGAACTGATTTTAACAGCAAAGAGAAGCTGCAGGTGTGGAGAGCTGAAACATGTTTACTCCCACAGCTTCCTCCCTCCAGTCTGTTGCCAGAATTCCTTTCCCCCAGGCAAGCTTGACATTGGAAGTAAATCTAATGAGGAAAAAAAAACTGCCTTGAGTAAAGGAAAGTAAGCTAGAGAAGTTGAAGGGTTCAGCTTTTCTAATGCACATGGCTCTTTTGTTCTTAAAATTGTCCCCGCCTGTTTTATATATTCGTGATTGTTTCAGATTGTTTCAATCACACATATTTGATTGTTTAAACCTGTTTCTGTTCCAGACTGTTCTGCCACCATCTCACATAGTTTAATAAAAAAAAACACACAAAAAAACCCAAACCATCATAATTTGGCGTTTTTACCCATTATTTGGCTGTCCCTGCATTCTGCTTCTAATTCCTGAAATCAAAACTTCTAGCAGTAGCTGGAAAAGGTACTTAAAGTAAAATTCTCGTTGTCCCATTAGACTAGGGGCAGAGCCTAGTTATGATGTAATCACACATCCCATATTACTCAGTACCTGTCTGCTCTCCCAGCTGGGCTGTTGGCTTTCCTCCCAACTCCACTGCTCCATTTTGTGTTGCACTGTAAGGTGTGCCCTACCATTAAATGCAGTGAGACAGCTGCTTCAAGTAACAAATATTAAGGGTCTTGCAATGAGGCGAGCAGTTGGAAAACCGATCTCTGTGTGCTACATACCGCCTACTTTCTAGGTTAGCCTGCTGCTCTCAGATCTAATAGAGGATGCTGTTTCTGCACCAGTGGTGAAGTAAAATTCGATTGCCATCCAGTTGTTCCCATATGTGAATTTTGTGTAGGGGAGGGAATTGTCGTGAAGAAGCCTGACAGTTTCCCCTCTCTGTGTTCTGTGGGTTAGGGCAAGCAAATGGTGTCTGGACATTATTTGTACCCAGGAGCCAGCTGGAACCTAGGAATGTGCTGTGCTATTGATGAGTTTATGAATAGACTGATGAGTATCTGAGTAGAGTTTAGTAGAGCTGAACTGAGATAATTAATTTTCCCTGATCTCAAATTCATTATTTTAGGGGATTTCCAGAATAACAAGTTATTTTCAGTAAATATGTTCATAGCACTTCTTTAGACTATTTAACACTGTTTTAATTGCATTAAGATTTTTGTCAAAAAGCAGACATTAATATGAATAACTAATAGGTGAATTGTTTTGCAGTATTTGAACAAAGAATGGTAGAATCTGGTATTGAGAAAATCTTTTCTTAAACATAGTTGCAAGAAGAGCTTTTAAAATTTGTCCTTAATTTGCCCATTGCTTACCGAATAGGAGTAATGATTTTTATTTCGTTTGAACCAGTAGTATGCAATACTGTGTTCTGATAAAGAACTAGTTTCTAAAGAACTCATGTTGCAAAATTGGATAGGTTTTGCAGAGCTGCACATCAAGATACATGCAGCTGCTATAAAAAGCCAAAGAAACTCAATTGCAATTTTATTGTCCGGTTTGATAGATTTCCTGCCACCTTTGTAGCAGGGAAGCTGTTTGTCACTGTAGCCCTCTTCTCCAACAGCTGCACTGCACTTTATAAGCAGTGATGGCTTTTGTGGCATAATTGCACTACATTGGTTTCTTTTGCTCTCAGGAATTGAAGGTGTGCATAATCCTTTTAAAGCTGAATTCCTTTGTGATGCCTTGAGGTTTTTTAAAAATGTAGTATTTCATAGCTTCCTTCCTCTGTTTTGTAGACTTTTCAAAAATAAGATAAAATTTGGTTTAATCTTAGGTTTGGGTGGTCACGTTCATTCTAAATGTTAATATACAGTCTGAGATGTTTCCATGTATAGTTCCTGTATTGGTCCTAAAAGTTACTACTCTGTATTCAGGGCAGCCTTTTAATGGGTAGTTATGGGGGAATTTTTCTGGTTGGATTTATTTCTGTTGTAATGCTTTTAAAAATGCTCTTAAAGGCAAGATGTTTAACTGTTACATTTAGTTTTGCTAACAGTTTTGCTTTTATAAGGTAGCCAATTTCTTAAAAAATAAAATAAAATTTGTGCTTCAAAGTAACATTGATTGTTTAAAATTGCACTTTCATTAGGGGAAGTTACAAAACATCCATGAATTACATGTCTACACACTGTATACCACTTTAAATTACATAGCAATGTATATTTAAAATGCTACTTCACTATGTGCCTAGAATAGCTAAATCTTTCTGTTTGATACTTAAATCTAGATCATTTCTTAATCGAAACAGTTAATGTAGATATACTTGTCATAAGGTAAAAGAAGGAATTAATAGAGATGTATTCTATTAAATATTGTGGAAAGATATAAGATTCAGAAATATGCCAAATAGCATTACTCACTAAAACTGATGTCCATAAAATTAGGTTGAGTTATATAGCTATTTGCTTGACTTGCTCTGCCTTGCAGATGCAGACAAATTGAAGAGAGAATGTGGGTGAAAATGATTCGTTAGCCCGGGTTGATTTATGGGGAACTCTTCAGGAGTTAAAGTGTAAGAAAGGTTTGTTGCATTATCCAGTAGATAGCATTATAGCTGGATCTACCTTAAGCGCCTAGGAAGACCGTCTTTGTGGGGTGGGGAACTAAGATTCTTTTTCCCTCTGGAGGGGCTAACATTAGATCAGCAGTATTAAGGCTATACTGTATATGCCTATGCTTTAGTTACCCTAAAAACAAAACTCACAATATTTCAATGTTTTTCCTGGGCTACATGAAACAGAGAAGTGGAACTTCATTGGGGACAAGCTTTGAAGGACCATGGGAGAACATTATCAAATTTAAGGGATAACAATTGATCCCAAACAGAGGTCCAAGGTTCTGTCTCTTAAGATAATGTACATCTGTGTTATGCTATGGATATCAGTATTTACTAGTATCTCTTTGGCCAACCGTAATTTTAAAAAATTATATTGCCACCTAAAATGTACTTTACCAAAATATAAAACACAGATTATAATTAGGTTATAAAGTAGTAGAGGAGTTACTAACAAATAAGGAGGGGGGAAAATCACAAAGCATTTTCTCAGAATAACATAATATATTTAGAGGTAAATAAAATAAAGGGACATAACTATTTCTTAGTTCTACTTTTAAGAATCTCAAAGAAGAAAAGAAAACAGCTAAAGAACCACACAAGAGCAGCATT